GCCCCGGAGACCTCGGACCCAGTCCTCCCCAAGCCCCGGCTTTAGAGAAGCGCCTGACGCTTAGCACCTACCAGGTGCTGAATAAACATGACATGAATGAATGACAGGGGGAGGAGCCCCTTCCAGACTGACCGTTGATGAGACAGATGGCGGAGGCCATGGGCAACCCCAGGGGCTGCGGGTGATGCAGCAAAAATTGGGCCTGCAGGCTGTAAGTGAAGGGTACCCAGGCTAGGTCCCCAAAGGCCAGCATGAAGCCAAACCCGTCGTGTGTGATGTCCATGGTGGTGAGAACAGCCTCCTGCAGGGACGGGACCCAGACACACTGGCTCAGTCCCCACGAGGTCCTCAAATGCCCTCCCCGCCTCTCCGCCCAGTCGGACCTCACCTCATGCCAGAGAGCATCACCCACATAGAGTAGCTGGAAGCCGTTGACCAGCCACATGGCCAGTGAGGGACTCCCCCGAAGTTCTGCTTCCTGCATCAGCAGGGCCAGGTTGATGAGGACCTGGGGTCGTGGGGGAAGGAGAACAGGGCAGTGTGTCCCCAGCCCGTCTCTACAGAGGTGGCAGCACCTACATGGGAGAGGAGCCAGCCTTTCCCCTTACAGCTCTCAGTCCTCAGGCCTTTGTTGAATGGATCCAGGCCCTGTACCCAGGGGAAAGACTGCAATAGATGTTTCTGGAAGTGCTCCCTGCCTGTTGGCTGACTCTTGCCTCATCCTATAATATTCCTTTTGGGAGAGCAACAGACAAGGATTAGAACAGATGTGGTTTGGGGGCGCCTGGGTGGTTCCGTCGGTTAAGCGTCCGACTCTTGATTTGGGCTCAGGTCACGATCTCACAGTTTGTGAGTTCGAGCCCCACGTCAGGCTCTGCGCTGACAGGGCGGGGCCTGCTTGGGATTCTCTCTCTGCCTCTCTCTGGTCACTGGGTGCGGCCCCTCCCCCGCTCTCTCTCAAAAATAAATAAACATTAAAACACACACACAAAATCTTTAAAACAGACCTAGTTTTGAATCTCAGCTTTGCGACTTGGGCAAGCTGCTGGCCCTCTTCAAAGCCTCCTTTCCCCCACCCCATGTGGGAAATGATCGTGGACCTGCCTTATGGAGCTGAGGACCAGTGGACCTGACGCATGGACAGCATGAAGCACGATGAGTCTGGCACCCAGGAAACAGTAACGGCTGGCTGGCAGCCAGCCTGTGCTGAGCGCCCCATTCTGGTAGTGGTGGCTTTGGTGTCGCCATTAACGTCCCCGCTTCTAATCCTCACAAGAACCTCAGCAGGAAGCTCTCTGACTTTATTCCATTTCACACATGAGGAAATGGCCTCAGAGGCCAGAGAGACCTTGCCCGAGAGACCCTTTGGGAAATCTTGACCACAGTCCAGCATGGGGGATTACAACCGAAAACCACAGTTGGCATGTCATCAAGGCCACTGGTGATGACCAGGTTGCCGCACCCAGTGACCAGTCTTAAGTTGGGCACCGCTTGGACCGGCAGGCAGCATCACATCACCCTGTCCTGTCCTCAAAATAGATCTTGAACTTGACTGCTTTATTGAAAGTTGCACCTGCTCACGTAACTCCTTCCGTGCCTTTTCTCCTGAGCCATGCTATATATTTTTTACTTCTGTTTTGTCTGCCTTCCCCAATAGAGGGTAGGCTCCATGGGGACAGAGATTTTTTTTTTTCCTGCTTTCCTGTAACTTTTTCTCCTTTGTCTCCTTGGACCTAGAGCAGTGCCCAGGGCACACAGTGGACTCAACAAATATTTGTGGAATGGATGATTAATGGTTTACATCTGCACAGCATTGGCCCTGCCTGCCTCAGCAAGCTTATCCATCCCACCCCTCCTTATGCCAGTTATACCCAGCCGATGGTGGCCATGGGATCAGCGACCACAGTGATTTGAAGTCAAAGGACAATGCTCTGGTGAGCTCCACCTGGAAAAAGCATGGTGGCGGGCGTTGCCTGGAGAACAGCCGAGGGATGAAGGCGCAAGCGAACGCACCCCCACCTGCCCCCACCCGCTCCCTACCGGGCCCTCTCTCACCTGAGGTCCCCCCAGGTGCCAGGGCGGAGGGAGGGGACTCCCAGAGCCTTCAGGTAGAGAAGGAAGCTGAAGATGAAGGCGGTGAGGTGATGCTACAACCATAAGGGCACGAGCAGCATTTCGGAAGCCGCCTCCATGAGGCAGCCCCGCGGACACTGCCAAGCCCACCAACAGGGCCGTCAGCACCAGGGCCTGGAAGCCTGAACCTGCGAGTCCTCATTGAAGGAGTCTTAAGCCGTGCCCACACCCCTGCTCTCCCCCTCCATGCCACCCCACCCCACCCCAACACACACACACAGTCCAAAGCCCAGGGAGGTCAGGGACCTTGCCCTTGGCTTTCAGTGGGTCACACCGACCACTGCTCTGGTGCACAGAGTAGCAGCAAATGCTGCGGGTAGGGGTGGAGGAACAAGGGACGTGCAGAGGGACAGTGAGATCCCCCACGTCGGCCTGGGCACATGGCATGAAATAGGCATCTATCGGAGCTTGGGGTCGGGGGCTAATCGCCACTGGGCCTGGATCTCCACCCCCACCGGGCGCAAGTCCGGCGCAAGGATCCCCCAGGCACCGTTAATGGGGTAGCGCAGGCGACTCTTGTCCTTCAATTCCAGCCCCTCGGCCACCTGCAGGCACAAAGGGACTCTGTAAGGGGGGAGTGTGCCTTCTCTCTGCGGGCGCCCCCTCCCTCCGTCCGCCGAGTCCGCACCTTGCGCGCCGGCAGTAGGTAGAGAGCCGCCTGAAGGCCGAGCCAGGTGAGCCACAGCAGCAGCACCCGCGGGCTCCACAGCACGTCTGGACCCGGCAGGTAGGGGGGTGGGCCCAGCAGGCGCGCCGGGCCCGAGCGGGCCACCAGGAGCAGGTGGAACATGGTGGCGGGGAGCAGCACCATCAGCGCCGCGGCGCCTGGGGAAGGGGGCGGTCGCGTCGGGGGTCCGCTCCGCAACTCGCCCACGGCACCCGCAGGCGCCCTGTTGCCTCCAGGGCCCCCTCAGCATTCCCACTGCCTTCTTCCATATCCCGTCCTCAGCCCTCAGCCCTCAGCCCCTGCCCTGACTTCCACCTTGGTCCCCGCCCCCACGCTCGCCCAAGGATCCTCCCCCTGCTCCCCATCCTCCGTCCAATCCTCCACTCCTTAGATGCCGCTCTCTGCAGCAGTCTCCCCAGACACTCCCCCCACCCCCCACCGGACCCCTCTTCCCCGGGATACCCTTCAAAGCCTTCCATTCTCAGACCCTGCACCCGCCCCCATCTCTCAGTTCACCCCGTACCCGCCGAGCCTCTGGTCCCAGCCCCGCCTGCCCCATTACCCAGGGGTCCCCCGAATTCCAGCGGAGCCCGGGAGCCCTGAGGATAGGCCATGGTCTCCACTCCACCCGGGGCCGGGGGTACACAAGCGTCCGTCAAAGGAACACCGTCCACCCCATCCCCCAGGAGATGAGCTTGGTGACGCAGAGGATCGGCCCGCTTCACGCAAGCACCTGCTTGGTCCCCGAGCTCGGACTACAAGCGCCCGAGTGCCGAGGCCTTTAAATGGACCCGCCCCCGGCCCATTCCAGGCCCAGCAATCCAGCCAATCGGCTCTCGGGAGCGGGCCTGACGCGAGGGCCTCCGAAGCCACCTCCGTAGCCTCACAACTCCACCCCGGGCAAGCCCCGCCCCCGCAAGCGACAAGGAGGAGGAGGCAGCGCGTCTTTATTTGGCAGGTTTTGAGGCTGGAGGGGAAGGGCCGCCCGGGCGGGAGACCAGGAGATGGGCGGGTTGGGGCAACTGGGCGAGCCTGTGCCTGGCAGCGGCCCGGCCTAGCCGCGCTCGCAGATGACCTCGACGACACTGGGTTCCATGGGCACTGGGTCCGGGCAGCGCAGGGCGGCTGAGGCCACCACTTCATCCAACAGTAGGTGCACAAGCTCCTCGTCGGCCACGAAGCGCCACAGGTAGAGCTGCAGGAAGTGACAGTCCACCTGCACCTGCTGCAAGCCGAAGCGCCCAAAGGTGCGCAGCCGCACACACTCCAGCAGCGTCTTCAGGCTGATCTTGATGATGCCGGTCAGCACCGATACCTGCAGGCAAGGAGAGGAGGCTGCTCTGGGACAGCAGGTGTTGGGTAGGGGCACTGGATCCCGGAGGGCACCCACGTTCTGGGCAGGGGCCAGAGAGACAGTAAGAAGCCAGTAGCTGTGATGGACCCATCTGAGAGGGAGGGATGGATACAAGGTTAGCACCATCATCCGAGGGGGAACAGACAGGGAAAACCCAACAGTCAGAAGCAGAGATGGGAGAAGCGCCTGGTCGGTTGAGTGTCCAACTCTTGGTTTCAGCTCAGGTCATGATCTCATGGTTCGTGAGTTCGAGCCCCGCATAGGGCTCGGTGCTGACAGTGCAGAGTTTACTTGGGATTCTCTCTCTCTCCCCCTCTCTGCCCCCTCCCCCATTCACTCTCGCTCTCAAAAAAAAAAAAAAAAAAAAAAAAAAGGCAAGCAGAGATGGGAGTCAGCACTGACACCAGGAGCGGGAAGACTTGCTGAGTTAGAGGCAGAAGAACACCAGGTCCCCGAGTGTGGGCTGGGTTCGGGCAGGGCCTATCATGTGGACAGGAATCCCTGATGAGGACCCAGAACTCCTGTGGCAACAAGGACAAGGATAAAAGAGGCATTCCAGATCAGCATCGAGACCCAGGCTGGGGGCACCAAGGTCAGGGCAGAGGGCCATGGGATATGGCAATGGCGGGGCTGTAGATGACCATTCACTCCTAGAAACAGCCCAGAGATAGAGCCTGGTGGCAGGAGGCAGGGGAGCAGAGGAGTCCTAGACTCCTTGAGTCAGATGCTTGAGCCAACCTTCCCAAGGGCCCCTAGAAGGTGGGGTCACAGGGGACTTCAGACCTTGTTGAACTCCACAGGGCTGAACACGTCGATGCGTTCAGAGAACAGCTTCTGGATGTTGCTCAAGAGATTGGTGTCCATTGGGGCACTGGATGGGGGGAGACAAGCAGTCAGAGCCCACCCTGCACCCACATCCTCCTTTATCCATTCCCCTGGGGTTACCCTGACCGGCCAGACCTGGGCGTGTAGCTGGGGGCGTAGCGGCCCTGCTGTCGAGAGCTGCTGTACACGGAGAAGGTCCTTTTGCTGGAGTCACTGCTCTGGGCCTTGCGGACACCCTCTTCGTACAGAAGACCCACCTGGCGGTGGAAGGAGGCACTCACTGTAAGGAGGCCAGAGCAAGGGGACCCTCTAGCCCACCAGGTGCCCAGGGTGAGGGCCAAGGACACTCTAAATTACAAACTCTGGGGAGGCTGGGTGGCTCAGCGGATTAAGCTTCTGACTTGGGGTTCAGGTCGTGGTCCCACAGTTTGTGGGTTCAGTCCCCACATCAGACTCTCTGCTGTTGACACGGAGCCCCCTTCTGGTCCTCCCTCTGTCTGCCCCTCCCCCACTCACGCTCCGTCTCTCTCAAAAATAAATAAGCATTAAACAAAATAAGAATAAAAATTACAAACTCATCGGTTAGAAGCACCACAGGGTAGTGGGGACCTGGCATCTGGTTGGTACCCGGTCGCTCTTCATAGAACAGTGGAGCGGGGCAAGGGTAGGACATCAGACTTGGGGCTGAGGCTCAATCTTCAGTGCTAACCCTGTCCTGATGCCCTGGGTGACTCTAGAGCTCAGCCCCCTCATAGGTGACATGCGAGCAATGATGCCACAACCCAGGGCTGAGGAGGAACGAGGCCACAGACGCAGGCACTGCTCGGCCCTGCCGTCTTGATCCTCTGAGGGCGGCTATCTTCCAACCCCC